ACTAAACTGGTAAAAAGAGCTTTTGTAACATAAGGATCTTTGAACTCTTTTGACCATCGCCTTACAAATGCAAAAACGCCTTTGGCTTTATTGACTGTAACATTAATATGATGGTTGAAATTGAGTTTGGAATCCATTGTGATACCAAGATCGACAAAATTGGATACCTGCTCCAAATTATAATTTGATATTGAATAAACAGCTGGTTGAACAGCCCTCCGAGAGAAACACATAACTTTACATTTTTGAAGGTTTAGTGGCATATAGTTTGTATTACACCAACTAACCACGTTGTTCAGATCCGCTTGTAACAAAGACCTTTCTTCGATAGAGGACAATGTTTTAAAAAGTTTCACATCATCGGCATACATTAAAATTTTTGAATGTTTTATTATAGAAGAAACATCATTAATGAATATCAGGAACAGAATCGGACCAAGGTGGCTTCCCTGAGGAACTCCTGAAGAAACTTTAATGATGTTGGTAGAACAATTATTAACAATAACTCTTTGTGTTCTATCAGAGAGATAAGATGAGATCCATTGAAGAAGACTGGGCTGAAAGCCGATTAGGTCGAGTTTACAGATGAGTAACGAGTGACATACTTTGTCAAAAGCTTTACTGAAATCGGTGTAAATTACGTCGGTATGAGCATTTTCTCTAAAACCGTTTGAGACATGAGTTGTAAACTCCAATAAATTAGTCATAGTAGATTTTCCTTTAGAAAACCCGTGTTGAGATTGTGTAATTGAAGAAGATATAGAATATGTCAGCTGGTTAACAATAATTGCTTCGAATAATTTGGGGATAGCGGAGAGTTTCGCTATGCCTCGATAGTTTTCTATAGAGGACCTGCTGCCGTTTTTGTGAAGTGGTATTATGAAAGACTCCTTCCAGGCTGACGGAAAAACGCCATGTTTAAGTGACAAATTGAATAGAGTTTTTAAGAAAACAGGTCGGAATATGATCAGGTCCAGGCCTAAATGACGCTTTTAAGGTTTTTAAAGAGTGTAAAACTTCATCGGAAGATATTACTGGAATATAAGCAGAGTTGATTGGACAAAGCTCGTACGGATAGTCTCCACTTATAGGGAAGTCTACAGAATAATTGGACCTAAAGAACCGAGCTAACATGTTGGCAATGAGTTGGCTGTCGCTAGATACAGTGTTGCGATAATGCATAGCGGACGGAAAAGCATGTGTCTTACGCTTTGAATTTACGGAACCATAAAATGATTTAGGATTGTTAATTAAATTCTTCTTAATTTTACATAAATATGAATTATAACATTTCTTATTAATGCAAAGTAGCTATGCCGCAAAACTGAGTACCTTAGGTAATCACTGTGTAAGCCCGTTCTTTTATACAGTTTAAAAGGTATTTTTTCTTTTATATGGACTTCGAAAACAATGTGTAAATCAACAAGGTTTTTATACAGTTTACACTCGATCAGCAGAAACAAAGATTAGTTAATTTATCAAAGTTATCTTATGTACTATGTGTGAGCACCTAAGATAGTGTAATTCAACGAAGTGTTTACAAAACTTAACAAGGGTAACTTGGGTAATTTGTGCTAGCCCCCAAGGACCTTGTTAATTTAAGAAAGTATTCGATGTTAGCTTAGGTAACGTGTAAACGCCCTAAGAAACTTGTTTAATTTTACAAAGTTCTTGTAAAATTTAAAAAAGTAATCTTAGGTAACTTGTAATAGCACCCAAGAAACTTGTGTAATTTAACAAAGTTCTTGTCAAATTTAAAAAAGTTTTCTTAGGTAACTTGCAATAGCACCCAAGATGCTTGTTTAATTTAACAAAGTTCTTGTAAAATTTCAAATCAAGTCAGCTTCGTGGAGACGGCTTTCGTTATCCTTCGTCATTGATTGTTTTGAGCTCAAACTGAAAAGTCGGCAGTGCTTTATTGTTACCTTTGGTGATTTTTAATTAACAAAGGAGTCAAAGCAGGTAGGTTAACATACACAGATATTTTAAATCATTCGATTGTCCTGATACATTTGCCATTTCATCACTTTTTAAGGCGAAAACAATATTCTGCAGAAGTGTGAATATTATAAATCAAAATCATAATAATATTATTATTATTACAATTTTATTATAATTTATTAAGAATATATTTAAATATTTAAAGAAACATATTTGTAATCAATATGTTTTGCTTTATTTGTAAAAAAAATTGTTCAACCGTTAATGTTTTGATAAGTCATCTTAAAATAATTCACTGTTTTAATAAAAGTCAATACATCTGCCCCTATAGCTTTTGTAAACAATCATTCGTAAATATATATCGTTATAAAAGGCATTTAAATAATCATTTGTTAAGAAAACCCGTAAATTGTTCCCCGATAAATGAAGAGATTGAAAATATGGAAGTAGAAACCATTCCAGTAATCGAAAATAATTCTTCCTTAGAAGTTCAAAACACGAAATTTGAAAACAATTGTGAACAATAAAATAGGGTACTATCTGAAGATGATCTAAAACAGGAGTTAAAAAAAAGAGTTTGTGAATTCACATTATGATTGCACAGTAATAACAATTTCACAAGATGTAATGTTCCGATTTTGCTAGATAACATTAATGAGTTTGTTGTACAGCCATTATTGAATTGGTTGAAAAAGGTCATAAATGATTTATGTGTTGAATATTCTGAAGATATTTTAAAACTTTTTGATAATATTGTAAATCCTTTTAATGATATTTCTTCTGAATATAAGTTCCTTAAACATTTAGAAGAGAGTAATTTGTATAAAAAGCCAACTAAATTTGATATAAATCCATCCGTTGTCAATAAGAGCAGATGTGGTCAAAATGTCCTTGAAGAACATGTAGATAGTGGAGTATTACTGCCAATCGAGTTTCAAATAAAAAAAATGTTTGAGAATCCACAAGTTCTAGAGAAATTCTTGAAAAAAACAGAACAATATTACGCTGATTCTAATAACTTAAAAAATTTTGTTCAGGGAAAATTGTGGCGTAATAAAATATCTTCTTTTAAAGGAAAAGTTACTATTCCGTTTCTCTTATATGTTGATGATTTTGAAGTCAATAATCCACTTGGATCGCGTACTAAATCACAGGCAGTGACTGCTTTATACATATCTTTCCCGACTTTGGAAAATTTATCGAGACTAAAGCATATATATCTAGCCGCCCTGATTAAAGCCGAACATCACAAAAATTTTGGAAATGATCTGACAATTCTTTAGAAGTTAATGGTTTAAATTTAAATATAGCTGGTCATTGTAAACCAGTTTATTTTGTTTTAGGACTTGTATTGGGTGATAACCTTGGCCTTAATCAGATCCTTGATTTCAGTAAATCTTTTGCCGCCAATAATTTTTGTCGATTTTACATGGATTCAAAGGCAAAGACTTTACGCTTGTGAGGATGTTACAAATCAATCTAACGGCGTGTTGAAAAACTCGTTGCTCAATGGAATTCCTTCATTTCATGTTACAGAAAACTATGCAGTCGACATAATGCATGACATCTTTGAAGGTGTTGCACATTACGATCTTGCTAATATAATAAACTATTATATCCAAAATAATATTTTCACCCTTGATGAATTAAATTTTCTAAAAAAAACGTTTTCATATGGAGATACAGATGCATCTAACATTTGTAAAGACATATCTCTTTCTCACATAAAGCGGAAAAAACTAAACACAACTGCTAAAGAAATGTGGACACTTGTTCATTATTTACCCTTAATTATAGGGCACCTTATCCCAACAAATGATGATGTGTGGACATTTCTTTGCGATTTAATTAAACTTATAGATTATCTTCTTAGACCAAGTTTTAATGAGCAACAAATTAAAGAAATTGAAAGTCTGATTGCGCAACATAACAGAAAATATATAGAACTATTCAATGATACTTTGAAACCGAAACACCATAACCTAATTCATTATCCAACTGTTATTCGATATTCGGTTCCACCGAAATTTTATTGAAGCTTTAGATTCGAAGCAAAACATCGTGAACTAAAAACCTATTCAAAAGTAACCAATAGCAGGAACAATTTTCTTTGGTCAGTATCTATAAAGTTTCAACTGAAATTCGCCTATAGCTTATTACAAGAAAAAGATAATAATTTGCAATACGAAAAAGTATGAGTATAAAAACTTTGATTTATATTTCATTGAAAGTTCATTAAAAGTTCCCAAAGATAGTATCTTTTGTTACAAGCAAGTTAAATTTAATGGAACCTTATATAAATCGGGACACTATTTAACGATAACGGCCGATTCAATCACCGATATTTATATGGGTTCCTATTATGTAGTTGTCGAAAATAAACTACATGTTTTGTGTAAGAAAATTCAAGCTGTCTTAAATGAACATTACATTTCATTTGAAATTATATTTATAAAAGATGTTAATACAAGTTTGTTATGTATATATCCAGTTGGGTCTTTCGACGGTCCACCACTTAATTGTCACAAACTTCCGAATGGTAAAGTTATTATAAGACCAAAGTATTTTTTCTAATAACTCAGAATTTTAAATTGTGTCTTAGTTTTAATTATAATTTTACTTATTTCTTATTAGCCGTTTACAAATAAGCTAGATTAGATATAGTACAAACATACACACATACAATGAACGATTTGAGTAACGCCATCGACTGTGAATTTCCAGAGGGAGGTAATTACTGTTTACTTCAAAACGTTGTTTACCTTCCTTCACAAGAAAAAATTCCTGAAACCCCACAACAAGGCGAACATTTTCCTGAAACTGGCGAGCCAAATCCACGAAACGAAATGCAAACAGCTACGCAATTTGATGCTGAATTTTGTCGATTCGAAGATTCCCACGATGACCCCTGGGCGGATATATTACAATCATGGAACTTATTTGAGGTCTCTATTCTTTTTTAACGCGTAAGTATTGATTTCCTTTTTTCGCACAGTGTTATTGATTATTTCTTTTTTTTTTTAAGTAAAAGGTATAACAATCGAAGAACTAAGGTATATAAAAGCAAGGCATTTGGACGAAATATTCGGGGGACAAAAAATTAATTCAAAAATAATATTAGAGCATAAGGTTGGTTGCTGGCAAAACGAGCAAGTAAGAAACTTTTGAGATATTTTGGTAACTCAGAAATAACACGATTATTTTTGAAGGGCATTTACAACTTACGATCAAGGCAGGAGGTAGAAGTGAATAAAGGAAATCTCCAAAGTGAAAAACTCGCAAGTGATGGAAGTTCAGATGAAGGCAGGCATTCTAAGCAGGTATGAAAAATTCTGTAATATTTATGTACGTACACATGATACAAAAATTACAAGGTAAAATCATTTTCTGAATTCGTCGGCCATGATTTTTTTCTAACGGTTTCAAGCATTTTAAATCATATACAATTGAAAACAGAAAAATTAAATTCTTCCCAATTGTTGTTGTTTGAGGTTAAAAATGAGAACGTGTGTGTGAGTTCGAGTTTTGAATTTTAAAATTATATTGCTTAAAGACGTCAAACTGTCTCTCAATGGTTTTACCTTGTAATGTTTTTATCATGTACGAAAATAACATAAATGTCACCCAGTATCCATCCAAAAACCATGAGGTGCATTAAACAAACTTATTTTCAGTCGCACAGTGTTCACAACATTTTACTAAATTCCGAACAAGGAAAAGCAGTTTTAAAACTATATGGCGAAACTAAAATGCTGTTGCCGCAAGCTAGAACATATATTATTCATTACGTTATTGAATCAATTATAGAACATGGCGATAAGCTCACAGTAAAGAAATGCGAAGAACTAGGGGAACAAATAACATCTTTATTTCCTACAGAATGCCGCGTAAGTTTACATGTTGCTCCAATGCCGAATCCTGAATAAGTACTTTTTTAATCATTTTAATTTTTTAATTAAAGGATACATATTTCTCACAAACCAATACAAAATTGGCACCAAAAGGCAAGCTTTGGGACAGGTATCAAGGGCGAAAACGGTACGTTGCAAAACTAAATTAGAATTCAAAGCGCCTGAAAATAGACAATCGCAACCCCGATCAAACGAACAATATGATAACAACTACTGGCAATGAAGAATATGATCAACTATGTGCTGATCTCAAACATATCAGGGATTTGGATACTGTACTAACAAAATGGAAGCAAACAATTTCGTATAGAAAAAATTGTTTGTTCAACTTAGATTTGACGTTGCATCAAATTTTAGATGAGTGGCCGATGTACAAATACTCCAAGGCTCCTGAATTGGTATGTTTATATGTAAGATATACGGATGGGTAGATTCTATATTCGAAGCTTCGAGATTCGAATTTTAATCGAATTTTAGCTCCAAAATGGCGAATTTTCGAAATTCGGATAAAATCGAATTTAAAAAAAAAGTCCAATTTCGTCTTTATTTGAAAAAAATAAAGCAACTCTGCAACTTTCTTCTTTCTGACTAAATCTGACTTCAATATCTGTGGTACCACATTTGCCTCCCACTTCAATTCCCAACTCCCAAGAGCAACCTCCCACCACCCATTTCTAGTCAGATAAATTTAAAATATGTTATAATAATATTCTACAAACATTTATTTTAAGGTTGACATTGACTATTATAACAGTTTCCCGGAAAATGGGCTAAATTTTTCAAATTGGAATCATTTGTGTACAATCCCTCCGGATCTGTTTGAGCAAAGGATAAAAGATCCACAAACCAAGCAGCTTAAAAGCCGGGTATTCAGAAAGAGAGACGTATTAAATATATGTTAAATAATAGTTTAAAATCTTCACTAAAATCAATGAAATAATTAAATATTTATATTTTTTAGACAATTTCAACATATATATTATGATGTTGTTGCATGCGGTTTTATTGCCTACTGCAAACGATGTACATGGGCGTCACAAAAAATATACAATATTGGATTCACAAAATGCCTTCACAGTCTCAGTAAACCAATCTAGTGAAGTGGATCAAGCATTGCAAAAAAGCGAAAACAGTGCCTAGAAGATAATGCAACCCTGCAACCGTTCGTAATTGTTGTGGGTGACGAATTCAATTTTAAGAACTTTTATGTCACATTAGACGGAATATTCATTTCATTCTTATATGGAGGCTATACAATACTGTTTTAAA